AGTCTGGAAAATCAGGAGTTACTCTGGGGTTCTTTTGACTTACCTAAATTAGTTTTTCTGCACAGTAAATTAGAAAAGAAAGTCTCCTGAATTAAGCTAGCCCAATGGGACTTTTTGATTGGTTCCTGGAAGCTTCTAAGAGATATCAGGATAGCAAAATTGCTTCCCTGCAGGATACTGTTTCTAATACTGTTATTTTGTTTAAACAAAATGAGAAGCTGCAAAGTAAAATTTATGCTCCTCCAATGCCATCCGTACCTTCACTAGCCGTTTCTCCCTTCTATTCTTCTCTAATGTTTATAGTCCTCATGACACACCCTCTCCAACTATTATACTTGAAGCTATATCATAAGAATTTCAAATACCAGCAGAATTATACATGGTGGATAGGTTTCAGTGGAACTTCCAGGTTAAGATAGACTAGGAAAAAGTGCCTGATTATCTATTTCTAGAAAAATTGGTCAATGAAAACCTTATGAATAGTAGTAAAACACTGATATAGTGCCAGAAGATGAGCCCTTCAAGTTGGAAGGCACTCAAAGTATGACTGGGGAAGAGCTATATCCTCAAAGTAGAGTCAACCTTAATGATGTGGATGGAGTAAAGCTTTTGGGACCTTCACTTGCAGATGTGGGAGAACTCAAAATAAGAAGAAACAGCTATAAATATCCATTAATAATTGGAACATGGAACATATAAAGTATGAATTTAGGAAATTTGGAAGCTGTTAAAAATAACAGAACATTTGAAGATCAATATCCTTGGTATTAGTCAGCTAAAATGGAGTAGTATCATTTTGAATGGATAATCATAGGGTCTACTACACCAGGAATGACAAATTGAAGAACAACATCACATTCATTGTGAAAAAGAACATTTCAAGATCTATCCTGAAATACAGCACTGTCAGTAGTAGAATAATATTCACATGCCTACAAGAAAGACCAGTTAATATGACTATTACTCAAATTTGCATACCAATCACTAGTGGTAGAGATTAAACTGAAGAGTTTTACCAACTTCTATAATCTGAAATTGATCAAACATTCAATCAATATGCATTGAAAATTACTGGTGATTAGAATGTGAAAGTTGGAAACAAAGAAAAAGGATCACTAGTTGGAAAATATGGCCTTGGTGACAGATATGACACTGGAGATTGCATGATAGAATTTTTTTAAGACCGATGACCTATTCATTGGAAATATCTTTTTCAACAACATAAATGGTGACTGCACATGTAGATCTCACCAGATAGTATATACAAGAATCAAATTGATTACTTCTGTGGAAAGAGGCAATGGAGAAGCTCAATATCATAATTCAAAACAAGGCTGGGGCCAACTGCAGAACAGACTGTCAATTGCTCATATGCAAGTTCAAGTTGATGCTGAAGAAAATTAAAACAAGTCCATGAGAGCCAAAGTTGTTACTTTTAGTATATCCCATCTGAATTTAGAGAACATCTCAAGAATAGATTAGATATATTCAACACTAATGCCCAACAACCAAATTGTGGGATGACTTTTAAAAAGTAAAAATTCATTGAAAAGACAGGAAAGAAATTTTCCCTGTTTTTCAAATATTACATTGCCCTTATCATCCTTAATTTTCTGGCCTTGTAGAAAGAACTAATTTTATAATAAAAATCCAATTGACTAAACTTTCTGTGACTTTACATTTATCTCAGATCAAAGCCCTTCCTTTGGTTCTATTAAAATTATGATCAATCCCAATTGGACCCCATAAATTTACCTCATATGAAATAATCACTAAGAGACCTGTGAACCTCCCGTGTTTTTCTTCCTCTACTGATTCTAATATTGTTCAACCAGCTATTGAAATATTGTCAATCTTTCATTCAGTATAGATTAGGGAAGATTTTGGTAGTCAAAATTCAGAATTACAAAGTTTACCTGTCATTGAACCAGGCAATTATGTATATGTGAAGAGCATCAATTAAAAGATTCCCTTGAGTCTCATTGGAAAAGACAATATTTCTTCTTCTTACTAACCCCTGTGCTGCTAAATTACAAGGAGTTAAAACTTGGATACATTTGTCTCAACTGAAGAAAGTTAAGACTCCTCATGAACCTGTCAACCCTCTGAAGATCTGAAGATCACCTTGGCCAGAACCTGACAACTTCTGAGATGGACAGCTGATCCTAAGATCATGGAACAAGATTCCATACTGCATGCTGAGATCTTTGGATTTTGCTTTACTGTTTTCCCCTTTCTTGTGTTATTAGCTGTGCTTCATACCTACAGACTTCTCCCCTGGTAAAACTTTACTCTCTTGTGCAGATGACCAGAAGAACTTATTTCGTTGAATTTGTTATTTTTATGTTATTTGATTTATGGTATCACTTTTAGGTAGTTTTTCTTCATTATGAAGTTCTCCTTAACTTTTTTCTTACTACTTACACTAATCCCTGCTACTGCTTGAAAGAAAATGCAATTGTTAGACTAGCCCAATCAGTAGCTGGTTCTGGCAATTAGACTGAACGCTAGATCTGTCATTCTCCCTACAAACTATGCATGAAAACTCAGACCCAATACTTCTTTTATACTGAATTATAGTTTTTCACCCCCACTACTATTAATTTTGGGAGCTCTGGTGGCATAGTGCGTAAGGCATTGGACTGCTAACCAGAAGGCTAGTGGTTCAAACCCATCAGCCACTCTTTGGAAGGAAGATTGGGCAATCTACTTCCGTAGTGATACCGCCTCGGAAACCCAAGGAGGAGTCACTGTGAGTCGGATCCGACTTGACAGCAGTGAGTTTTAGACCATTAATTTTACCATCAATTTTAAACGAGTGATGTATATGTGTTAGACTATGGCATCCTCCTGAGTTATTAGTTCAACCTCAGGTTCATGTTTTAATATAACCCAAATCAGAACTAGATATTGCTTTGATGCTGCTTGGAACCCTCCTGAAGACTGTTTAAATGAGTTTTTAGTTTCCTATGCAAGGTTCCCTAGGTTTTGAATGTGCTTTTTTGCAATTAATACATCAAATAGAAGATTCTTGAGTCCAACAAATAAGAAAAAGGAGTCCTGTGCTCAAATTGGGAAGCCAATGATGTTGGAATTAGGCTGATCATCCATTTGCAATTATTCTTTAACCAATAATTGGCTTGAACAGATTAATCAGACCATCCCCTCTCCACATGTAAATAAAAAGGTATGATTTGCATCCCTTATGGACATGTATTCCTACATGGAGGGTCATGATAGCCTTACATAGATGTGTCTAACCCAAATGATGAACCATATTCTTGGGTACTGCTCTGCTAGATGATTGGAACATGACAGATCAGTGCACTTGAGGTCATTTATGAGTCCCCTTAAATACTCATTTTTATAATGGAAGTATACATTAGAATGGTGATTTGAAAGTTCTTTCTATGCATAAAATGGAACTTGTACTTAAAGACAAACCTATAGCTGATAGATCTGGGTTGGGATGGGCTTTTCTTCGTGCACTTGTCCCTACATATGGTATACTACAAGTAGAAAAGTCTATTTGTATCCACTTCTATGGCCCAAATTGCCAATAATATTGCAGATGGAAGGACTGCTCAACAAAAACCTCCTTCTAATTAACATAACAAAGAAAATTCATTCTAAAATGGAATTTGAACCATAGATATAGGAATTAAGAAGAAATAGAGCAGTTCGAACTGGTGGTTTCATCTGTATGATGCCCAGTTTGAACTATTCTATTCTTCAACAAACCTCACCATTTATGCTTCTACAGAGTGCCAGATCTTTTATTCTCCGACAGAGTTATATGAAGTGCTGTTATGGATTGGATTATGTCCCCCAAAAGTATGTGTTATAAATCTTAACTCCAATATCTATGATTGTAATCCCATTTTGGAATGAATTTTCTTTGTTAGGTTAATTAGAAGGATTAATGCAGTCTGTGTCTTGAGTCAACCTTTTTTCAGATATGAAAGAAGCAAATGAAGCAAATAAGCTGAGATGAGGGAAGATAGATGCCACACCACATGAAGATCACCCAGGAACTGAGGAACAGAAGCTGAAAAGACACAAAGATCTTCCCCCAGTGCAGTCAGGAAGAGAGAGCATTCCCTTACAACCAGCACCCTGAATTTGGACTTCAAGCCTTCTAACCATGAAAAAATAAATTTGTCTGTTAAAGCCACACACTGTGGTATTTCTGTTATAGCAGCATTGGATAACTAAGATGGTGTTTTCCCATATTTGTCCTCATTTGATTACCAACTTTTTTTGTGTGAGAAGGACTGGAATGCTGAGAGTGATCCCATTTTGTCCTCTCCAGGGGATATTTCTAGCAACTCTCGACACTGGGTATGATGGAATTAATTCATCTACGGTAACCACTTTGGTAATTCAAAGAATCCTCTACACTTAATTCAATTCCTAAAACAAAATTTCAGAGTTCTTTTGCCCTATTTTTAATAACTCACTTTAAACCAAAAATATGTTTGACATTGTGTTTAACCAATAAGTATTCTCAGATCTATATATATCTAAGAGAAAATATTTAACTTTTAGAACACACTTGTTCTCCTGAGCTAAGTGATATGGTTTCCTAGTCCATAGGAGTGATAAGTTGTACACACATATACAAAAAAAAAAAAACAGCAAATAAATCTATTTCTGTTTCCAATGAGAAGTTTGGGAACCTCATCTAAAGTCAAGGTTTTGGAAATCTAACTGGAATTATTATTTTTTTAATGCACAGGAGAAAACTGAAAGAATCAACTCTAAATGACCAGATTTTGTTGTTGTTGTTACATGCCGTGGAGTCGGACCCGACTCATAGTGACCCTTCCTTGGGTTTCTGAGGCAGTATCACTATGGAAGTAGATTGCCCCATCTTCCTTCTGAGGAGTGGCTGGGTTTGAACCACAATCCTTCTGGTTAGCAGTCAAGTGCCTTAGGCACTACGCTACCAGAGCTCCCAAATGACCAGATAGGTCAAGAATCGAATTAACCTCAGCAGAAGTGAAAATTTAGAGGGAAGTTTAGCACTTCATTCAGTATTCTAGCACTTGCCCACCCGTGCCTAAGGCATTTGACTGCTAACCAGAAGGTTGGCAGTTCAAACTCAGCCACTCCTAGGAAGGAAGGTTTGGGCAATCCACTGCCATAGTGATACTGCCTCGGAAACCCAAGGAGGGATCGCTATGAGTCGGTCGGTCCGAATCCACGGCACATAAAAACAACACCACCACCTACTCAACCTACCATTTACATATACATAGTGGTTCCTTACCACTGCCAAAGGAATCATTCCTCCGGGGTCTACAATCCATTCATCAAACTGCTCCTCCAGAGCCTGCCTCCGTGTATTGGCCACCTTGATTTTGACTTTGCTTATTTTATCTCTTTGTTCTCGTTTCTCCTTAACACTCTTTTTTATCTTGGATACTCTGGAGAAGGTGAAAATAGGAAACATCTTGAGTTAAGATCATTTGCATTTGGTTCAGATGGTTCAAATGGTAGAGCCTCATTCAAGTTCTGTACCAATCTTTTTGAAATCGACCTTCAAGCTTGCAGTGATCCATCCTTCCTCTATCACTTACTGAGTTTGTTATTAATCACAGATTGCCTTCTGCTATTATTTGACTTTTTATGGAAGTAGGCCTTATCTTTCCCAACTAAGTAATGTACTTAAGAAGTAATAAGAATAGTTCTAGAAGCTGCCATACATACCCTACAGACAAGGTGGGAGGTACTAAAGTCTTAAGGTACTGGGCCTCTCTATCTTCTATGGACACAGAAATCATCTGTGGGACTCTGATTTCAAGCCTAGGGTGGGGGCTTGGAGGCTGTATTTATAATTAGCACTTCAGATAATTATGATGCCTTGGGGCAAACTTTTGAGAAATTCTGTTTAGGATTATATATTGACTTATTGCCTTTATCTGGCCTGAGTGAAATAGTTTGACAACCCTTACTGAAGTCCTCTGCATAATAGGTGCTCTTGTACTCACTCAGAGTTTCATCATTCAGGTGGAAAATAAGGGAAGAATTGTAATTTCAATTGCTCTTACTTTCATCATCAGTATACCCTGACACATGGTCATGATGAGTTGGAATTGGCTTGATTGAAACTTGTTGGTTATGCTTCTCATCTCTATTAGGATATCAAAACCCCAAGCTGATCTTGATTGCAACACCAAAATAGCTCAGAAAAATAAAAATAATGGCTGACTTTGAATACAACTTTTCAACAATGTTTAGGAGAGGTCTCTGGTGGCATAGTGCCTAAGGCATTTGACTGCTAACCAGAAGGCAGGTGGTTCAAACCCACCAGACACTCCTCGGAAGGAAGGTTGGGCAATCTACTTCCGCAGTGATGTTGTTGTTGTTATGTGCCGTCAAGTCGGAACTGACTCATAGCAACCCCTTCTTGGGTTTCTGAGGCAGTATCACTAAGGAAGTAGATTGTCCAACCTTCCTTCCGAGGAGTGGCTCGGAAACCCAAGATGGGGTCGCTATGAGTTGGATCCGACTCCACAGCAGTGAGGTTTTTTTTTGTTTTTTTTTTTTAAGGCAGTCTGACAGATTTTGAAATGTAAAAGGATTTT